ATATATATATATATATATATATATAGTTAGGTTTAAATGTTTCTAGCAACTATTGTGTGCATGTATGCACCAATGAGAATTGAGAAAATAATAAATCATTAAATAAATCATTTAAGGGTATTATTATAATCTTTGCATATTTAATTATGGTAGATAATTAATATATTTATTATCTCTTTAAATATTGGATATTAAAGTCAAATAGCCGCATCCTTTTTGCTATGGTAGGGTTTATAATCGTCGACTCCTCCTCCATCTGTCGACTCCTCCGCCTCCATCTATCGATTCAATTCATTAACCCTAATCCGTTGTTAACTAGCGGCGACTGGACGGAGGTGTGCCGGAGAAATTAACAGGCGAACAAGAAAATTACATCCTTCTATGTATCAAACTTACAGCATGACACCACCAACGACATGCTATACAACGCTTTTTGGAAATTTGGGAAACTCGTCGGTACATACATCCCGAGGAGGAAAGACAAAGGAGGATCATACTTCGCGTTTATCAAATATGAAGGTGTCAAAGATATCCAGGTACTATTAAAATCACTAAATCAAGTAAAATGTGGTCACTGTATCTTGAAGGTTAATATCGCCAAATATAAAAAGAAAGCCAATCCCAGATTGACGGTGAAACCAAGTAGTTGGACGTTTGTTTTTTTTGCTAATTACTATTTTCTTTTTTTGTGGCAATTAGTAATTACACCAAAGAAAAGCTTGGACGAAAAAAAGTTGTTTTTATAGCAATTAGTAATTTCTTTAATTTGCCTGATATTTCTAGTTGCTAGAGGCTATAATTGCATGATACAATTAAAATTTTAACATAAATTCAACGATGCACACTTTTTTCCTTTTGTCATAAAATGGTTTACCGAAGGTATAAAGTTTGTGATAATCTGGGAAATTCTGTCAGAATATGTTAAGGTAAACAATATACTATTTTGTTAGAGTTATACTAATATGTTTATACCTGTGTTGAAATATTCTGTTAGAATTAAAGTATATACTACTTTGTTTTTGATACTTGATTGTTCTAAATTTGTCTTTGATGAAAAGGGTTAAGCTGGGGATTTTTTTTTCATATCAGAATGCAAACACATGTTTATTCTATGAGAATATAAATATTACATAAAACATGTGTTGCTAGTAATTCTGACAAAATACATTTATACATGCTTTAGAATGTTTATGCGTATAGAAGAAAAGACTATGATTTAAGTGCATTATGTAATGTATTCTGTTAGAATTTATTTATATAAATGTGTAACACCCATAAAATTCAAGCCAATTTAAAACTTTTTAAAACATTTAAAACCATCAAGTTATTACAGTTTACTTTCAAAATAATTTAAACATCAGAGTATCCCCAGAATCAATCATGAAAATGTAAGGAGGTGCACGATCACGCCTTCGCCTTCTCGCGTTCATCAGAATACCTGAAACAATAATCGATAAATGTAAGCTCGAAGGCTTAGTGAGTTACCCCCAAAATACCAACGCCATACAGATATAACCACATCATATAATCATATAAGCAAACAACAACAATATGCATAATGAGCCATCAGTCTGACTGGACCGAATCCCGGTCCTCAGTCTATCTGGACCGCTCTCCGAGCCTTCGGCACGTCTGGACCGCCCTTCTTGGGACCTTCAGCCTATCCAGACCGCTCGCTGGGCCTTCGACCTGACTAGATTTGCCCGGCCCGGGCCTGCAGTCTACTCGGTCCGCCCAGGGTGTCTTGGCCTACTGCACACAGCAGGACCTGCCTCAACCCTTTCCCCAACCAACAAACATGTGCACACATATATATAAACAAGTACAAAAGGCAGATCTAACAGATCACTAACATGGCAACCATCCTATAACCAGGATACCGATCTAACTGATCTCTAGCAGAGCAACCATCCTAAACCAGGATGAAATCTAACATAGCAACCATCCTAAACCAAGATGTAATCTAACATAGCAACCATCCTAAACCAGGATGAAATCTAGCATAGCAACAACATAGCAACCATCCTAAACCAGGATGTAAATCATAAAGGGTCGGCCTTGGTGCCATAGACCCTGTTGATATAGTAAGGAGAACTCACCTTGCAATGCCGGACTGAACCACGAAAACACGCTCCCGAAACACTGTCCCAAACTCCAACACCTATATCCATCAATGATCCAATCATAAATACCCATAAGTTCCCAACCTTTCAAGGTACCCCCATAAGTCAGCTAATCAAACCCTGGTCAAAGTCAAAGTCATCAGTCAAGGTCAACAGTCCATGTTGACCCTAACTCGCCGAGTACCCTCGCCTATACGCCGAGTTCCTTGAAGTACTTGCCCACTCGCCGAGTCATCGGGGTGACTCGTCGAGTCCCTTCGGTTTACGGTCGAAACTCTAAGGCCACTCGTCGAGTTTCCTTCATGCAACTCGACGGATACGCACGCATACATAACTTGGGGAAATCTCATCC